AGATATAAGTAAAACATTTGATATGTTTTTTCATGCCAGGTTTCATTATAATGAAAATCAATTTTAAAAATTTATCAGACACACATATAGTTGTACAAGGCTTGACTATTGTATCACTTTATTATTGATTACTCATATCCTTATTTGTATTTGTAACCATTGATATTGATGTAGTTTCAGTATACAAATTTTTACATATTAATTATTTTTTGTTACAAATATTGTTGGAAGTGTCTCTTTCATTCTCAATCGATCATATATTATTAATTATATATAAATACACAGCTGGGTTTACACTTTGAGAAAATAAGGCACTCCCACTTTTTAGAATGTAAGTTTTTACTTTCTGCATTGTATACCTTTTTCTGAAGACTAAGATGGAGTGTTAATGTTTGGACTGGAATAATTAGCAATCAAATTATAAGACCTTATCTTCTTTTAAACAATCTGAATAAAATACATACCTAAAATTTGCATACAATCAATTGCCTCTTTCATGTAACACTATCTACAAGAAAATGTTTAATTTTTCAACATGCAAAGCACCATCACATCTTACCAGAGATTTAAAAATTTTGAAAAATATTCATGTTCAATTTGTTTTAACAATATAGTATTTTAGCATCTAAGATCAGCAAATATTATATATGCTGATTTCTATTTATGGGGATATATTAAAAAGAAAACAAAGAAGACATTAAAAATCTTATACAACTAAAATAAAAAACACTTAAAAAATGAAAACATTTTAAATTCTGTTTATACTTTTCGAATTTATAAGACAGAACTTTGTACAAAGCAATGGGAAGGAGCATACTTTCAACAATATTTGTAACAATAATAACACTATGTAGGAACATATTTTAATAAGTTACTATTATTTTAATCATATCACTATCAATGTTTACAAATACAAACAAAGATATGAATAACCAATAATAGAGTGATATAGTAGCAAAGTTCCATACAACTAAAATGTACTGAATGAATTTTCAAAATTGTTCTTATCAATAATGAAAACTCAAATGAAAGAAAACGTTATATAAATTCTTTCTTCATACAAAATCACCCTCTTTGACTATATTTACATGAATTCACTATATCTACATGAAGAATAAATTTGTATTTATAAAATACAACTAACACTTGTTAATTACTTATATTGTAAAGGAAATTTAATTAGCCTGCCATTTTGAAACTGTACTACACACCAATGTCAATAAACATTACATTCCAAAATAGCAAAATTATAGATGAGAGCATATACAGGGTGTTCTGTTTAACTTTAAGGGTCATTAAAAACAAATATTAAAGAACTTTAATAGATTATTTGTGAAGTCAATCTGAATAAAAAATGTTATAAAAATATAGATCCTATTCTTCATACTTGTGTAATTACAATAGTTCAAAATTGAACTGTGGTCATAGTAATACCACAAGTTTGATGCAAAGTAATTTCTCAGAAATTGAAACAAAATAGAAGCTTATGAAATATTTATTTACAGTTCAGTTTTATAATATATGTTCAAAATATGCTCCTTGAGCTTGAATACAGACATTGCACTAATAAATCAGTAAATTGTATACATGACATTGTACATTATTGTTCATGAGTGTTTATTTTATTACTGTGTATTATCCATATATTATAAGTATCCGTGGAAGTAGTAACTTAAGGGGTTTAAGTTTAGAAATCTGGATGGTATTTATGGGGCAGGAATTTCATGTTCAATTTATTTGTTGAGGTAATGGAGATTTAGCCATGTTAAAACTCACCTTCTACAATAAGAATTAATTTCGTTTGATTTTCAATTCTAAATAACTGATATCTCATGTTCTCTTGTTTTATTTTGATTTCCTAAAACTCACTTTGCATCAAGTTTATGGTTTTACTATAGTAATAATAAAATGTTCAACTGTTGTAACTGTGTCAGTACTAAAAATGGGATTTATGACCATACAAATTTTTTTATTCGGAATACTCTTGTAAAAAATCATCAGTGTACGTATGTAACAATTTTTACTTTTCTGGAACAAAGAATTGAAACTGCAAAGAGTGTTTACTTCAATAGTTATTAACACAATTACTTATTATTTTATACTATATACTGCAGCTGAACTTTATTACCCTTGTCAAATAAAAATGATTAATACTGATAATGATAAAAATATTAGTTTAAACACACATGTTGAAAGCAAAATTGTTTATTTTGGTAAGTACTATGTAATGTTAGAATTCGTAATTACTTTCTAAATGCATTATGTAATACTCTTAATGTGCTTCCTAAGAATCAACATATTTCAAGGTCATTGAGAATATACACAAAGTTACAAAAATTGGCAAACAGTGTTATTAACCACAATACTGAATTGAATAAAAAAAAATAGTAATATAAATGAATTAATCCTTTAATCTACAGGTTGTCCCATGTAACTAGGACTAATTGTGTCTTTAAAATGATTGAAGATCAAAAGTACAATAAGGTAAAGTTAAATCTAATTTGTTGTATACTCTTGTATTTTGTTTATGTACTTTTGTGCATTGGCAGATCTAAAAAGTGCAATTGCATTTTTTTCGTGGATTTTTATACTGTTGAGTATACAAAATGGATATTTATTATCCTTTATAAAAAAATTCATACTTAAGTCTTAGAATTACTACTTTAGAGATTATTGTAATTTTAAGTTTCCTCATCTCTATTGTGTAAGACAACTTTTAAATGAAATTGGAGTCAATCACATTAGTTATCATTTTAGTATTAGTCATATAGTTCATACAATTAATCATCCTAGAAACAATTCTAAATGTAGTAACACTTTCTTAAAACTTCTTAATTTGTACTATGATATATAAACAAAACATTTCTAATTTTAATAAATTTAAGAGAAAAATTTTTGCTCTTGTATCTTTAACCCTTTCATTATAGCAGTGTTGGTAGCCAATATGCTGTACCCACTGTATGGGACTGTTGAATCATGAGTCTATACTTTGTTAATATTGCAGTTAATACATAAGGATAAAATAATTTTAAAACATATTAAAAACTTAAGATCTAAGGTTTTAGTTACCTCAACAGGAATTTGTCTAAAACATGAAATGCCATATACTGTGCGTTTTGGATCATTCAGACTAGGTAAATGAAAGTAAACTGTATCTTCATCATAATTATGAGATCCATCTGGTAAAGCAAGGGTCGGTAAATACTTCCAACCTAATGGACATTCATTTGGAGCTCCAGGCACCAAAGGAGGAAATGAGTATTCTACCTAATAATAACATATTACTGTTTATAGATATCATAAATATAATATTCATTATGCTTGATTAATCTCATATTATTAAATTACACTTATGTCGTCATTATATTTTAAGGTACTTGTATAATTATAGTGTATGAGTAATAAAATATTAGAGATTGTAGAATTCATGTATTTTAATTAAAAGTATTTATTTATAAATGTTACAAATTTAGTAATATTTAATGTATAAAATCATATCATAAATCATTATAATATTAAAAATATTGAACATAATAATGTATCAAATATTATTTTATCATACAAAATGTATAACACCGAGCATATTCTAAAACGCAAAGTTATTAGAAGTTTTTAAATAAGACAACAAGTAACTTACTTGACATCCTTTTTTGTGATGAAATCCGACGACAATCACATGAAGTATTGGTCCAACAGATTCTGCCATATTTTCAAAATATGTCTACATAAAATCTATACACGTTGTACAGTTTGGTTTTCACATTAATTTATTTTTTCATTTTAAATGAGGAAAAATATATTTTTCTATTAGCAACCGGACTACAACAAATGTACAGTTAGCACGCGCTCTCAACCACCATGTTAGTTTCATAGCTACCAACTGCACTACTTAATCTATCGTGTTCGATACTAAATAAATATATACTTACAAAAAAAATCTCTATTTCAAAAAACTGTATTTTTATCATTTCAATTAATATTTTAGAAGGTTTTCATTATAACAAGTACATATTATGACAGTAAACTCATATATAATTTTTAATATATGTACACATATATAAAATGTATATACTTATTACATTTTATACACGATAATAACATTTTATATCATACATATGAAAAAACTTCTAATTAAGAAAACGAACAATACCAAAATTGTAAAGTATTACTTACTAATTACTTTTAATTCGGCAGAATAAGTTATGCAATAATATTTCAAAATAGCATGTGCTGAAATGCTTCGAATATGCCGCCACAGTGGTCGATATGTAATGCCACAATACCTTTTTATTCTATACGAGACGGATTAGTGACTAGTGATAAAAGTTCGTTCGGAATATGCAGAAGCTTTCCATATTATGCTAAAGATTTTGTATAATAGAAAAATACTAATTGTATAAATTTACATTACTATGTATATAAATGTCAATATTTACTTTTTATATTTATATAATATTCTCTGTAGTAAAAATACTGTAAGAGCAAAATAAATATTTGGAAAATTCTAGTGAAAATAAAACTATTTATTTAATAAAAATGTGTATTTAAAACTTAAAAAATTGTATATTTACAAAATTTCATATTTTTCTGTATATAATAATAACACTTACTCTATTTATAAAATGCAGAAAAATAAAATTAATAAGAAAACAAATTGCTATTGAATTATAACAAAGCAATATAAAGAGAAATCTTTTATTGTACAATTTGTTTCAATGACTTGAATAGCATATACAATGAAAGAAAAGAAAATAATTTCTTAGTATATATCATATTGTAATCAAGTATTTTATCTTAATATGTTTTTAGTACGAAAGTTATAAACTTTCATTGTTTTGATCAGAATTTGTTTAAATATAAGAGACATTAACAAAACAGGCAATATTATATTGGTAATAAACATTACCGTTTCTATAACTTATCTCCGCCAATTTACAACCTTGATCTTTTTATACATATGATCTGTGTATAGCAGTGCCTGCAGCATAGTTTTTATTATGCTCCATTCAAAATGGCAGGAGCAATACGTTTGTATTTGGTCAGAAACATTAAATTGTTTTCTGCCATCAGCCTCATAGCTGCCTCTCTTCCCTGCATCAAGAAGAAGGAAGAGAAGGAAAGAAATGGGTGGAAAGACTTGATCCCAGTAAGACGCGCTACCTGCGTACATTAAATCCACGTGTTCCATCGGGTCCAATAGGCATACGAAGGACATTACTTGGTAAACCACTACAACTTGGAGTTATTGACTTTGGTTGAATTCTGTTTATTTCTTGCATTAATTTTTCTTCCGGACTTTTTTCTTCACCGAGAATTCGTTTCCTTGCTTCTGCATATTCTTGTTCCCTCTATAAATATTTTTGAGCATGTTATTTTTTTTATATTTCTAATGTTAAAGTATTAAAAATATACCTGCTTTAAAGATTTAATAGGTTGTTTTGGTTTGTCTCCATTTACTAATGGTCCATCACCACTGCCTTGTGAATCTCTTGTAGGCCTTTTTAAGATTTTTACTGTTGGTTTTGGAGGTACGTATTGAGATCTCATACTATCTTCTCCCAACATTATCATTCTGGTGTTTGTATTGTGATTGGTTTTGAAACTAAAACATTACAAGGTATTATAATTATAAAAATAAGAAAATGTTTTAAGTTAATATGTATATAGATATAATTTACTTTCATGAATGTGTTGACATTAATTCATAACTATATTTACACCATTATAAACTCTTGTTTTTAATATTTGACTGTAAGTAA